TGCCGTGTAAGTAGGTTTTACTAATTTTTATTTTTTTCATTGGAATACCTGTTTTATTATCGATGAATCCATACAAATGTTCATGGAGTTTTATTAGATTCCATATGATATTTTTATGTATTACAAACTAATGAAATTAATTATACATTTTTCAGTTGTTTAGCGATGTATTTTTTACCAAAGACTTTTATCGTGGTTTTAATAATTTACTTAAAAAAGATGGAACACCAATATACAACTATGAGTTTAAATACGATGGAGAACTCAACGCTTGCAAAAAACTCCTATTCGCTACACGGCCAATATTTCATTCCTTAAAAGGTAAAGTACCAATTATTCATTTTTTATTATGTGAATTTGTTAACTTCTATTTAACTAAAATTAACAATAATAAAATAATAAAATTCATAGGTGCATGTCACGCAGACGAATTAAATTATTTGTTTTATGGACAATTGTTTGGATTCTTGCCCAAAGCTAATACCCCAGAATACAGAATGTGCAGAACAATGAGTAAGCTGTGGTCCAATTTTGCAAAAACGGGGTATGTTAATAAATGAATGAACTCTGTCATCAAATTAATAATTTAATTTAATTTTGCTTAAATGTATAATATACATATTGGTACATTGAAATTAGCAGTTGACAATGTTTTATAAACTTGTTTGATTTGTTTTAATTTTAGAAATCCAAATTCACCAGATTTGAACATTGTGTGGGATAATACAAATGTGGACAATCCCAAATACTTATCAATAGACGGCGATAATACACACATGGTTAATGGCCTAATTAATGATTCCAGTATACACTTTTGGGAAAACATATTTGAAATAATTAAGTTGAAAAAAAAACTGTGATTTTTCATATGTATTTATTATTTTTTATGACATAATTGTTTATACTATTGATGTTTTCTACTGTATATATTATACATAAATATTTTATTTAAACAGTTATTTTTTAACTTGTTTGTCTGACTTAAAGAATGTTAACTCTGTACATTAATATCCTCCGCTTCCACCACTTCCAGTTCCACTGTAATTGTACGATCCCCATGTCTGATTGTAGTTTGTTGCTTGAGGGTAGCTCCAATTTTGATACTGATATGAATAATCTTGTCCAGTAGGAGCGTACTGTTGATAAGCTGCCTGGTTGTATCCAGTGGCGTATTGTTGAGGGTAATATCCAGTTGAATTATATGGTTGATAGTTGGTAGTTGCAGTCTGAGAATTCGAGGATGCTGCAATCTCTTGTGCCTGTTTCGCTTTCATTTCTTTTTCGAGTCGAGATTTTTCTTCCTCGACTGCTGCTAAAGCTTTTTTCTTCTCTTTGGCGAGCAACTCTGTGTAACTTTTGAACTCGTTGGTGGCTTTACGTAATGATGTGTAATCACAAGTGTAATCCTCAATAAATTCCAATTTACGTTGAGAAAACAATATTTTTTGCTCTAAATTGACACTGCTCATTGATAATATTTCATCAAATATTTGGATAACTGATTTTTCGTTTAATGGCTTTACACTCATTTTAAGCTCAACAAGTTGTAACAATAGTCTAGCATTATCTTGCATATTGTCTTTGTCTTTATTTATTATTTCTGCAATCAATTCAATGGCTTTGTCAATTTTACTTGCACACTTCCAAAGGAAACGCGCATATTTTATAGCAATGTTAGATGTAAGGAACTTTGTATGAGAAGTATTTATATAATGTTCATACAATTCACATACTCTATCTAATTGGTCCCTCCGTTTTTCCAAATTAATGCGCCTGTAAATAACTTGCAACATATGTGGAACGGCGTCGTCAAGGTTCTTCAAAATGTCAGCGGCTTTATCCAAATTACCTTTGCTTTCTTCAAAAGCTGACCACTTTAAATGTAATTCTGGTGACTTTCTATGATGAACCAAACAGGCACGTAAATATAAGCTTTTTAATAAATCGCTTACATCAAAATCTAAAGATTCTAAATAGTCCAAATAACTTAACCAAAAATCTTCATACAAAGCACACGGTATTAGACATCTTTCATACAGAACAACAATGCGTTGATGGTCCCCAGCTTCTTTCTCCAACGCGATATAATTTTTCCAATTTTCTATTTGACACTTTTCTAAAGGCTTTACGTGGAAATAAGGCCTCTTGATACTTTCTTCAAATGCCTGACGCTTAGCTATTTCTTTACCGGTTTCCTTATGAATTTTTTGTTTTGATTCAATGATAGTTTCTTTCAATAATGTCAATTCTTTTTCTGACACATCAGATAAGAAAGTGTTTTCTTCTTCTCCTGGTGGTGCAGAATCGTCAGTCAACAGTTCTCCATTTCCGTTCAGCCTCATTCTTTCAGTTACTTGCTGTCTTAATTCAAGATATTCCTTGGCATTTAAAATTTTATCAGGTGCATTCTTGTTCACAAACTCTTTAAAATTTTCAAAATGTTGCAAATAGCCCAATGTCTGTGTAGCAAGAAGACGACTATATATGTTAAAAGCATTGATTAACTTATTCTGTTCAATTTCCCACTTAATGTAATGATCCCATAACCGATCTGAACGGTACTCAAGTCCGCACATTTTCAAGCCTTTCTCAAACTTACTACGGATACGATCCACATCATCGGAATGCTGTGTTTTTAGGTATGTCATGTAATGAATCCATAAATCAACACTAAGTGGTATGGCACTCAAACCACGTTGAAATACTTCTTCACACTCATCTTTGTTGTTGTTTCTTTTCTCAAAATCTGCAAATTTTCTCCAATACCCGTAACAATAGGGATAAAGTTCCAAAAATTTATTATAAGCTTCTCTTGCGTTTTCAACATTATTCTCTTGATCCACATACTGTAACAAATAAGTCCATCCAGCAAAGTCTGATGGGTCATCTTTAACAGCTTGCCAAAACTTATCTAGTTCAGTAATTGGTTTGACTTCTTCAGTTTTAACTTTTTTAGGCTGTGATTCATTATCATCTTCTTTTTCCTCGGGAATTTTACATCTTTTTGTTTTGGCTGTACCATTTTCACTAGGGAGCTCTTCGTCAGATACTATTTCAGTTTGGTCAGCTAAAGTGGTTGGTGGCAATTCATCTTCAGATACAGCTTCAGTATCAACGGGCATATTGTCAACTGGCATTTCATCTTCTGATATCACTTCTGTTTCAGGTTCTTTGGACTCGTCTTTTAGAGTTATAATTGTTTGTGAATCTTTAATATCATCATAATTAACTGTAACTTTACCAATTTCATTAGTTTCATCCAAAGTTTCATCTTTATCGCAAATATCATCAGTAATATCAATAATTTCAGTCTTGGGTAAGATAATTTGACAATCATCTGAGTCCTTGTTATCAGACTCATCACTTGGCTTTTGTAATTTATTACTAATCATTTTTATAGACATTGTAGGAGGGGCAGTTATTATAACTTTTGGTGGTTCAGTATCATCTAATTCTGGAACACTATCATTCATTTTACCGTTTTCTTTAGACTTATCATTTTTTAACACAGTTTCATCCTGGTCAGCCATGATTCAAAATATTCTGAAAGTACTTAAAAAAATTAAGTTATTTTAATTACATATTTTTAATAATTCACATGTATTTCAATACTAAACTACACAATATATTAAACATATAAATAGGTAGATAAAATTAGGATAATGTATTAGATGATTATTATCTGTAATCATAGCATTACACTTTCAGTAATAAGTATATCAATTTTTAAATATGATTATCAAATTATTCACTTATTTTAAGCGTTTAAATAGGTACCCAATACCTTAGATACCTATGTACCCAATGGCTATAAAGTAAAATGTAAAATAAAACAATGCTAAGACACAAATAATATTCTCAATTTCAGGATCAAGTATCAATGAAGTTGATCAGCTCTAAAGCCCCGTGCTGATATTGGGAAAACAAGGACTTAAGAGGACATTGTACACGCATGTATTGTCTCCATCTTACATAAGTACGACATATAAAATTTTAGTTCATGAGTTTCAATAGAGTACTGTTATTTTTAATAGGAATTAAGAGTGAATTGACCTATTATAAAATTCAAACTATTATCTAGGGCCCAACATAGGCTTTTATTGATATTATTATTTTTAGGTAATTTAGGTTGATTTCAAAATATACAGTTTCAAAAAAGTCATAACTCACTTCAAAATAATAATATCAATAAAATCCTACACGGGACTTTAGATAATAATCTTACCATTCAATTGTATGATAGGTAAATTCACTCTAATATCATAACCAACAACATACTATTGAAACTCGGAACGAAAATTTGGTGAATTTGGTGTGTCGTACGTGAGTAAGATGGAGAGAACACATGCTGGTACGACGTCTTTTTAAAATCAAAAATATCTAGATACATACGTACACAATAATATAATATTATCTTGCCATCGATAAACTTTTCTACAAATGTTCAAAAATGTTAATTGCTCGATGCAATTATATTATTGTTGTACAATTTGTTTCTACTCAACAACGTTATATTCTATATTAATATTAATATATTGTAATTAAGACCTTACCTCAAATTTTGGTTTTGGAAAATAAATCTAATACTTTCTCATTGTAAACGGAAGCAGCCACAGAATCGATGCGATAAGATATTGCGTTCGACAAAAGCCGGAACAACGTTAGATATTATGCTTCGGTTTTATGGTTTCAGACACAAATTGAAAATATCTATTTAAATATTAAAAATATTAAATCGTGCCAACAAAAACACACCAAAACACAACAAAGTACGGTTTGCACTTTGCAGAGGACGCCAAAAACAATATTTTTTGTGATTAGCGATTACTGATTTGTGAACGAAATCGATATAGTTATCAGTAGTAGTTGTAGTAGTCAGTAAAACCAAAGAACAAACGTAAAACGAGCGTCTAGCCCCGAGATAGATAAGAATATATTATAGTGTATATTCTTATCTATGTCAGTGGCGTTTAGAGAGAGACAGCGCCTCTTATCAGCTCCATTACTATCAGTATCACACTATCACAGTATCACGACACTTGCCTTATATTTAAATAACCGGATTTCCGATTTATTAGCATTTAAAATTGTATTAAATAATTATAATATAATATTTTTTATTACATTAATTTAATTTAACACATAATGTCTTTAATTTCAAATGAACAATTGTGAAAACCAGTTTTGTTTGTAAAGGATTTGTGTAAGTACAAAACAAAAGTATACTTTACATGACAGTACAGGCTGTATAAGATATCTTTATTTCATTCAAATTTACTGTAGAGTTTAATCATTGGAAAGAGAAGAATTAAACGCTATGTCCAACATAGAGGGTCAAAAACTAATATGAACAAAACAATAATAACAAAGTATTACTGCCATCGGTCTGGAGTATTTAAGTCTAAAATCTAAAGGAAAAGGAGAATGTTCATTAGATAACTGGATCTTGCAAAATTGAAAAAACTAATGGTAGAAGTTTATACAACACATTGTTTTATAGTTTTTTATTTTTAAATTTAGTTTTATGCTGCCCTTCTTTTATAAAAACTGTTGCTGAACTGATGAATATGGATGTAACATATTGTAAAACTCACCTACAATTAATATTCAATATTCAATTACTCAAATATTAAAGAACTAAATTTTATTTTGAAATTATACCTATATATGTACTTATAATTATATTTATAGGTAAAATTGATAGTGGAATCCCGCCAAATGTCATAATTGATCAGTTCCGCAATAAAACTGATTATAATATTGAAAAAAAAATATAATTACAAGGAAAGACATATATTTTTTAGAAGTTTTTCATAAAACTTTGAAGTATGTCTATTTAAAAGGAAAAAAATCAACAGCTCGTTGCTTTATTATGGCATTTACTAAAAGTAGTGAGAGATGAAAATTTTGAACATATTATTAAGTTATGTAATGGTGGTAAAGTTACTCATTTTGTAAATGCTATTAACAGTTGACATCGCTCTGCTCTACCAACTAATTACAAAGTTATTAAAATATCAGGTGATACTTGGTCGGTGGCATCTAATTCATTAGAATTAGATTATTTAATTAAACAGAATGAACCATGCTCGTGTAAGGTAATTTGTATTGTGTGCAAATGTGTCCATTTGTTTTCATGCACATGTTATGACTATAGTATCAAAAACAACATATGTAAGCATATACATGCCGTTTAAATGAATTCAATGGTAAATAATAAAGATGTAAATATGGATGTAATATGCAATCATTGCAATCAGATAGAAAATGATGCATGCAAATGCCTGCTGCACCACAGCTTACTATACCATCCAGTGATTCCATTGCTGATAAAATTCACCAATTGTATAATATGTTTGTGCCACAAGCAGGTACACTCGATAATCAACAACTCCAAAAACTAAACACAGCAGTAGATTCAAGTTTAAAAGTTCTATATCAACAAGAAAGCAACTTTATAAAAGATGTAGAGAATCGAGAACCAGCCGACAAAAATGTAGACAAATAAGTAATAACTACGGTTTTATTCTACATTTGTATTGTTAGTGGTGACTATGAACTAATAAATAAAAACATTGAGACGTTTATACTTAAACTGTAAAGTACAATTTTTCCAAACCAATTCGATGAATTTTAATAAACTAACAAATAATTATCACTGCAAAATTAAAAATCAAATTTAAAATGTAATAAAAATAAAAATTTTATTTTGCATCTTTTAAAATTTAAAATGCATATAAAATATAAATCGGAAATCCGGTCTTTAGTGATAAGGCAAGTGTCGTGATAGTGTGATACTGATAGACGATGGTAATAAGTTATTACTAATAAAGTAATAACTAATAGTGCTGATGAGAGGCGCTGTCTCCAGACGCTCGTTTGCAAAACCTGATCCGTTTGAGCTTTTTGAAGCATCTGTATAAATTAGCGTGTGGTCGCGGTAATGTAAATCAATTAATTCGTGAAAATGAGATACAAAGATTGAGTTTTCCCTTGACTCTTGAGTTTTTGTAAAACTTGAGAAGTTCAGTATCTATTTATATTTGGCCTATTTGGGGACCAAGTCCTAGGTTCAAGTGAGGGAATGAAGATTTTGTAGATTGTATCTATATTCAGATTGATATTCTTCTTGATTCGGTTGAAGTTTTCATAGATCATGTTGGGTGTTTTTGCTCTAGAGTTTAGGTCGTTTAGGAAGGGATGATGAAATTTGGAGGCAGATATATGGTTAGACAGGTTTGATGTCTTGATCATATATTTATTATAATATTATAAACTAGGTAAGTATACAAATAAATAACAACTATTATTGTACAATAAATTATAAACGTATTAAAATAAGTGATAATAGTACGACTGTTGTCTATTTAAACTTTAAAATAATGAAAATGAAATTCGTTTACAATGGTGATTATGTAGATATATTAGATACAGGTAGGTAAAATATCAAATAATTAAAATAACTTCGATATTTTTAAATATTTAAAACTATTTACAAGTTTATATACAATATACAATGATTACAAATACCTAACAGTAATTTAAAATGAGTTAATAGCGATGTATGATGTATATTGATGTGGAAATTATTTTTGCCAGGTAGTAATATACATACCTAAATAAGTACGAGGTATTAGGGTATTAGGTATTAGGTACGTCGTGATCGTATGTATATGAAATATTTTTTTTTCCTTTTTTTTTTGTTATTTCGATATAGAATAATGATTTATTTTGATCATAGTACCGTGTAGCAGTTTTTTTTTCATCGTGTTTCTGCTATAGATTGAAATTTAATAATATATAATTATTATTATTGAAAAAAAATATTGATATTTTGAAGCATGACGAAAAAGTTTGTTTAGAATAGTAGTTATTGCGGGCTAGCTATACGAATAATTATGGAATTTCGTTTCTAAATCGGGCAATCAATAGTAATGGAAAAAATTTAGAGCTGGATGCTGGATATTGCATGTTATTCAGACTTTTCAGTTTCTACGAGACGTCGTGTGTTGAGAACTCTGTGATTGGATTTAGTCCAAACTGGTCAGATATCTAAAACGTAAAAAAATAAATTAATTAATAAAAGTTTAAAACACTAAAATTAATATTCCTTAAAATTCTAGAAACACATTACATACAAATACCGATACATTTTTAACTTTTATAAAATACAATTTTATAACAGTATAATAATTTTATATTCATTCTTGTTTTAATATGTTTAGAACGTCCTCTATTATGTCGGTTATTCATTTGTATTTACTTTTATTCAAGACCAAATATATGCCCCAGGTCAAGAATATAATATGTAGGTTGTAGGTATAACACTATAATACATTATATGCATATTACATGTATAATATATATGCATTTTATGAAGAGAATTACTTGTGTGTATAATGTCTAGCTTAATGTTTATTGAATATTATTTATATTCCACATGCTATAAATTATAATATACTACTATCCTTTTGACAACATTATCTAATTTTCCCAACGTACTCGTTTTTTATACACTACATTATGAATAAATTTAAAAAATAACACCGACAAATTCTGAATAATATGTACATAAATAACTGTCGATTACAATGACCTAAATATAGAATAGTAAGTATAGAGGAGCAAAACATGGAATTATAATGCAAACAAAAATTTCGCAGATAGGATACAGAACTGCTTGCAGGATATCGGGTGACCAAATCTTACTGGAGTAACTCGGTCCTGAAAATTACGATATATTGGCGACCTTGTAGTCAAGTTATTCGTCTCGTCTGGCGGCGTAAGCAAGTTAGTATTTACCATCGATAAATAATAATTAAACATATTTTACAATACGAGTATACAATAATCATAGTATTCGAGAAACAATTTATTTTCAGCATGATTGAATTTGTTAAATGTTGGTATTCTTAAGTGTTATTCAAAAAAATAATGCAAACATGTTTCATTGATAATTTGTGAAATTAATATATTTCAGTAAAATCTGCAATTTTTTTTAAATAATTCATTATTGCAAGTATTACATATTATAATGCAAATACCACAGTCAAATATTTTTTTATATAATTAAGATACATGCACCTTATAAGTTTATATGTTTTTAATTATTAGGTTGAAATTTAATACGTTTGTAGATTGAATCGAAATCCTTTTAACTTCTTATTTGAAGTACCGAAGTCTGAAATACTAAAATATAGTTTTAAATAGTCTATACAATATTAACAGCTTGAGATTTATACTAGCTGCATATAATATACAGGGTGTTTAATTGTTGAGCTGTAATAGTTAAACTAAAAGCTAAAAAAAAAAAATATATATATACAGGGTGATTCACCGAGTAATGGGCACTAATCGTCCTTTTTTCTTTGTGATTGTAATAATTTATTCTAAATTTGAATTTCAAAATTTTCAAATATACTTAAGGACCATGTTTTTAAATTTTTAAGATTTTTATACTTGAGGAGTTTTTAAAATGATGATATTCCTTTTATATTATAAACTGTTTAGTGAATCATTTTTCTAAACATTTTGATACATCAAAATCAAAGTTTGAACGGTAGTTTTTTCTAGGCTTATGATAATTAGTTTGAAAGATATGGGGGTTATGATGATTTTAAAATGTTAGTAATTATTATTAATTTATCAAAATTTACAATTTATTAACATGGTGCCGATACAATAAATACTAGATCTTATATTACATTTGTTTTATATATTTTCTAAATCATTTTTAAGGACTTTATTATCCTTAGTAGTTATGTGAGTATTGAGTAATATCATTCATTATAATTACTCAGAAACTACTCTTTTGAATTTTGAATAATTAAATACAACAATCGTTTAAAAAAACGTTATCCGTCAAAAATGTACAATAGAAACCTCATATTTTGGAAAAGAGAAGTGTATATCGCTATAACTGCTACATAATGTTTATTAATAATAGTGGATTAAAAAAATCTTAAAATTTTGAATAAATTCAATATCAAAAGAAACATGAGGGTGATTACGGTCGGTGAATAACCCTGTGTATGAATACTATAAATTAAAATATATTTATATATTTTTTTGTAAATTAATAATATATTATATTCTAAATCGATAAATTTGGTCAAATCAAAGAACAAAATTAATAATAATCATATTTTTTTTAATTCTAGCATGCCATCTTTATTTTGCTTATAGCTTATACCTATTCAGTATACTGTACACATAACACATACTCGTGTACTAGATACACATTTAAACAAGTCTTGTTACGTTTTATACAATTATTAAAAAAATAAATCACTGTGAAATGTTATTTTTTGTCTGATGCACGCATGTTATAATTATGATACATACAACACGATAAACTATTAACATATCGTATAAATTTCAAATTAAAACGGTGTTTTAAAAATTGCAATTCGGTACCTATTCGAATAACCGTGATCTCAATTATTTTTCATTGCTATACGTTGAAGGACATCACGTTTCAAGATTATGTTTTTTTTGTTCGGTATCGCTATTAAATTGATTCAAAAGCGTTTTTACGTTAAACTGTTTTGGCAATGAATTTACCATGACTTAATAATTTGTATCTGCCGTCTACATTTAAACACGACATGCACTTCGTTATATAAATTCAGTAACGTACGTTTTCGATCTAATAATATAGGAAAATATACAGTGTAACTATTATCACAAATTAAAAAACCATTTCATTTCAAATTCTCAACATGTTTTTACGTGTCGATGATGATATGTTTTAAAAATTCTTAGTATTTATTATACATATATATTATATTATTATATACCTGTAAAGAATATTATGAGAAGGGGAAATATGGTACTATTAGCGGTATCGTATATTTATTTTATATGGTTTTATTTTATTGGCGTATAATATAGCCATATCGTTCAATAAAAACTGGAAAATAAAATACCTACTGTATAATATAAAAAGTGAGTGGTTATTAACCTTCGTCGTACTTATATTCAAATCATTTTGTGGGTGTTTAGTATGAAAAAATGAGTATATGTTTTTTTTCTAACGTTGTAAACATACATTTACTCTTATAAACAAGGTAGGTACACAAAATTGTATTTAATCATATTATTATCTGTATAATATATATAACGGAATACATTATTATAGTGCAGGTAATAGGTATTAAACTTTAGGTAGTTTTAATTTATTCTATGAATAAAAAATAAACCAGCAGCTAATTATAAAAATATAAAATTTTAATAAAATCAATACCAAATCGGTAACAAATAATTATGTGCCAATGCAGATTTGATTTGTACTAGCTATCCGAGCTACTTTTAATGTGCACTGTGCAGTAATGGTAAAACTCTTCAAAATAGGTTTTAAATTTTTTCAATACCTAAGTCGAAATAACAAATTAACCACTTAAAAAAATACAAATACAAATTTCTACTGAACAATAACATAATTTTGATACTAAAATCTAAATGAACTTATCTGGATACTGGAGACAACGAACGACACATTTTAAGCACATGAATTACTATGTGATAATCTTTTCAGACCATTAAGATTATTGTGTGAATGCTATAAAGTTTGCAGCATTTTACTTTATATTAGATAAACAATATCCAGTGGTGACGAATAAATATATTATTGTATAGTATCTATTCGTCTATGAAAACTGGTCAAGTGACTTAAATATGTATAACTATGAAGTTGTGGGCAGTCACAAACACGAAGTGACGTTAAACATTTCTGTAACAAAATAAGTTGGCAAATCTAAATAAATAATAGTTGTAAATACTCGGAGGGAAGAAAATACTGAAGTTATTTTATTTTAAACGTTTCATAACTTTCATAACTTTCATTCTTATCATGTTTTGTTCATTTTGTATTGAAATACAATATTTCACATTTATATACATAATGATTATAACTTGAGATATATGTACAACTTACTTATATAGTTATAGCGTATAATAATAATTGATAAAACATTTTAAGACTAGATATGTGCAAGTTATAAAATTAAATCAGAGAATTGATGAAAATATAAATTATATCAAGTCAATTGCCTATTGCTTTTTAGTTTTTACTACCTACTTATAATAATAAGATTCAAAAATAATAGAAAAATAAGTCATAATTGATTACATAAAAAACTAACTACAGGAAATAACAAACGAATCAAATAATTGTTTAAGCTCTGATACAATATTATTATAACTATTATAAATAAGTACACAGCTGGTGTTGTATAAACTATAAGCCGCCTTGCAGCTTCGCACAAGAAAAAAAATCATTGCTAGATTTCCAATCTCTGCCTAAAATATAATCGAAATGGGGATTTCTACCGCATTTTGAATTTACAACTTAAGCCACGTGGTAGCAGATGCATTTATGTGTGATTTCATGTTTAGGTATAAGTTGTATATTTCAGTATAATGATTAATTATACGCTTTTAAAAGAAGCATTCTAAAACAATTTTCACCAAAAACACTACCCATTTGTAGGCTGCGGGAAATTCTATAATATTAAAAATTAAAATTAAAACATTTAAAAAAAATTTTCCCGGAAAAAATATTATAGTTTACAGTTTTTTTTATTAAATGTTGGTTTGATTGTATCTATATTAAAGTTTGCTCTATCAGATGGACTGATGGAGTAAATTTAAAATTATGTAATACCTGTACATTAATAGTTATTACTTATTATTATTTATTATTTTTCTGGTAGTAATTTACCTTAAGGTATAATAACTAATAAGGTTGAAAATTTTAAGTGTATATTTGTATTAGGTAACAACAATTAGTAAAACAGTAGAATGTAATTTATATGTTAGTACTTATAGTGTTATATAATACAGGTCGCATATAGGTATCTTCTTGATCAATATATACATAGAATAATAATAAACACAAGTGACTTATAAATCATAATAATAAATTATGATAATTAGTGATTGTCGGGTATTATTAATCCCAATATTAACAAAGTTAAAAGTTGAAAATATTTTTAAGGAAGAAAAGCTAGTCTCGTTGTAGGTACATTAGTTTATGCATCATGCACGGAATTATGACGCCGTTAATGATCATTAATTAACTTATCTAACTATTAAATGTTCCTTAATCGTACTAGCGAATTTGAGCTTTGAGCTACCACAATTTTTTTTATATCCTTTCGAAAACCACTGTTAAATCCTGCACTCCGGCATATTCTCTGTTATATCTTATATGTATAATACCTACCCAGGGGCCCCACATCAAATGTTGAGCTTCTGTAGCAAACATTTTTGTGTCTCCAAAATAAGTACTCCCATCTAAGTTTCAAAATTTCAAACATTACAAATTAACTTCAACCGTGAGCCTCTGTAGTCCAGGTCTAACACCCCCCCCCCCCCCCCC